TGGGAGAGAATTATAAAGTCTTCTCTAAGTAACCGAATCAGAACTAACAATATTCAGTCGTCAGAACATCAGATGAGGCTGTGAACTATCACCTTTGATGCATCCAAGTATTTTAAAGACTAGTTGTTGAGGACAGTGTTTGACAATGAAGTTTTGCTTTCTGGCTTATAGGACCAAAGTGCAATAAGGCAGTAAGAGTACTTGCAGACTGAGGAAGAAAACTCAGCGATTGTAGGAGGGGGATACTTAACAAGACAAGGCATGGATGGGGTGGATGTTTAAAAAAAGATCGTTCTCACTGCCAAATTTATGGCTCAAATCTGACTAGTGTTAGTAGGATTTGCAAGCTGTTATTTGCCTGGGGTTTGGCAGTTTGGTATGCACTAGTGGTCTTAATCCAGTATCTGGACCAGAAAGCAAATATTTGCATCCTTGGAATCTCTGTTGCAATTGAAAAATTCCCGAGGTAATAGTGAATGCCAGATGGGAATGTGGCATGAACTGCCCGGGTAGCATGTAAGTCCTTAGCTGGTGTTGTATCGCTCTGTGCTTTTTTCCTTCACTCTTCAACACTTAAGTGCCTACTGTAAGCCGGGCATAGTGGTGCACGCCTGCAATTCTGGTCCTTGGGGCGCTGAGGCAGGAGCATCATCATAAATTTGAGGCCAGCCTAAACTACACAGCAAGACTCTGCCTCAAAAAGCAGAAACAAAAAACTCAAAACACTACAAAAACACAACCGGTGTGGTGGCCTGGCACACACTGTAATCTCAGCACTCAGGAATGCTGAGGAAGGAAGATAGGCATGAGTGTAGCCTCGGCTACACAGTGTGTTCAAGACCAGCCTGGACTACACAGCAAGACTCTATCTCAAAAAAAGCAGCAAACAAACTAAAAAGAATGCAAGAGTGCCTACTCTCTGCCAAGGCCTGGACAGTAGATATGGTGTTTCAGAGTAATGAATCCAATGAATCCAATCCTCTGTCCTCATGAGGTTTGCATTGAAGTGAGAAAGAAAGGAATTTAATATGCAGATCAGCAGGTTGCCAGATTTATCAAGTAAAAAGCAAGAAAACCAGTTGAATTTATTTTGGTTTTTTGGTCTTTTTTTTAATCAGTACCAGGGATCAAACTCACGACTGCGTGCTTACAAGGCAGGCACTTATGCCGCTGAGCTAATCCCCCAGCCCGGTCTTTTTTTTTTTTCTTTTTGGTACCTGGAATTGAACTTAGGGCCTTGCGCTTACCAGGCAGGTGCAGCCTTGCTGATCTACATCCCCAGCCCAACCAGCTGAATTTATTTATTTATTTATTTAGTCTTTTTGAGACAAGGTCTTTCTAGGCAATTCAAGCAGGCCTTGAGCTCACTTTGTAGCCCAGGCTGGTCTCTAACTTGGAATGATCCTCCTACCTCAGCCTCCCAAGGGGTGGGATTACAGGCATGAACCACTATGCCCGGCTAACCAGTTGAATTTAAGCGAAGATTTTTGTGTGTGTGTATTTCCAAAACATATATATGTTTTTTTCTTTTCTTTTTGTTTTGTTTTGGATTTGTGGTGCCAGTCGTCAAACCCAGTGCCTTACACAGGTGCTCTAACCCCTGGCTCCAGTGCTTGTGCAACCTTAAATACAACGTGAGACGGCTCCAGTGCCATGGGATAAATGAAGCCGAAGAAAAGGCAAGCTAGGGACTCAGGGATGTGATTTCAGCTGAGGTGGTCACAGAAACTCCTCTGACAGGGACCAGGGTTTAGCTCAGCAGCCTAAGTTCCTGCTTGACAAGTGCAAGGTCATGAGTATCCAGGTACCAATCCAGGTACAAAAAAACAAGAAACTCCTCTGACAAGTCATGATAAAGCAGAGATTGAATGAAATAAGGAAGGGAGACAGGCTGGTCTCTGTGGAAATAACATCCCTTTTATTCTGTTGCTATCATCAAACATTGACACTGAATAATTTATAAAGAAGTTTTACTAAGGTCATGGGTCTGTAGGCTAGAAATCCAAGATCAGGCAGCCATACCTGACCAGGACCTTTGCAAGTACATGCGAGCAGGCGAGACAGCCAGGGAGACTGACCTCACGTTTACAATAACAAGCCCCCACAGCAACTAACCCCCTCTCATAATCTCTACCTCCCAGCTCACTGCACTGGGGATTAATGTTCCCGCACACTGACTTTGGGGGAATGGGTTCGAGCCATCCCAAACAGCGAGGACAGCCTTATAGAGGCCCCGAGGTCCAACTTCAGCGTCACAAACTAGGCTCTGCATCCAGGAAACATGGAGTGCCTAAAGTGAGCTGGTCTAATTCCGAGTCCATCCACAGTTTCTATTAGTGATTCAGATTATTTGCTAATTACATGAAGAGCTTCTCTAACCCTAAATGATTTAGGATTTTTTAAAAAAGGATCAAGAATGAGAAGGAAGCAGGCGCCATGGCACAAGAATGACGTTCAGTCTTACTCTACGCTGGGGGCTGAAGAGGGCTCCTTTGGGATTTTGTGCTGGTATATTGCTCTATGCTAGAGCACACATTTGGGTCTAAGGCAGGTGAGCCCATCAGATGGAGGGGCTCCTTTAAATCCCACGAGAGGCTGAAGAGATTGAAATGAGCCAGGTGCTCCTGTGGTAGCTTACTTGCACAATTGCTTCGTAACAGTAGGATGCATTGTCACAGTCACCCTAACTTCCTCCAAGATACCCTGGCTACACAGAGAATGCTTTTCTAAAGTACCTAGAAAGTACTAGTTCTAAGTCAAGAGGAAGCCTTCTGTGGTTTCATTATTTATGAAACTTTTTCCTATTTCTTTTCCCAGATCTGCCCTGTGTCCCTTGGACCCATCATGACTTTGTAGAAGGAAGCCTAGGTGGTCTCGTTCCTATGACTGCAAGATTTCTTCTGAGTTTGATGGCAATATTGAATTTGCTAATTTTTTTTTCTTTTTTTTTTTTTTGTCTTTTTCCTTTTTATCGGTACCGGGGATCGAACTCACAACTGCCTGCTTGCAAGGCAGGCGCTTATGCCGCTGAGCTAAATCTCCAGCCCCTGAATTTGCTAAGTTTAAAGTGAGCAGATTGCCAGGGATTTATCAGAGCAGCATAAGTGCCTGTCTGGCAAGCACAAGATCATGAGTTCGATCCCTGATACAAAAAAGATAAAAGTGTGCAGATTCTTATTGAGGTTGTTTTCTTATTTATTTGAATGCTTTATTATTTAGCAGATGACAGGAGGGAAGATTTTGAGATACTTCTGAGCAGGGTCTCACTTCCTTTTCTGTCTCTTAACCTCCCCTTGATGTAAATGAATCAAGGGTGGGTGTGATAGGAGATAAGGCCTCCAAGGGTAAAACCACAAAGACCCAGAACTTTTGAGAACCCAGCTGATTGGTATTTCAGTGTCTTAACTGCACACATGTGCATACATACACATGTACTCACATACACACTGCACTGAAGCAAGGCCTTGTGCGTGCTATGCAAATGCTCTACTACTGAGCTGTATTTCCAGTCCTTAATTGTATTTTTAATTTTTAAATTAAATTTTTTTTTGTTGTTTTGTTTCTTTTATTTTCTTTACTTTGAGGCAGATTGTCATTATGTAGTCCAGGCTGTCTTGAACTCACTATGACCAGACTGGCCTCAAAGTCATGGTGATCCTCCCGTCTCAACCCCCTGAGTGCTGGGATTACAGGTGTGCGCCATCACACCTGGTACACTTGGCTGTTTTTACTGATTCTGGACTATTGTATCTCTAGCCAAATCCCTGCATTGAAGGTCCCAGTTTGAATGAATTTTTTGATTCTTAACAAATTCTGACCTCCACCACCCTCCTCTAGATACTTGACAACTCATGATGATCTGGAGTTAAGAAAATCAGACTTAGAAACACAGTTTTAGCTTAAGATGCTAACGCACACCTGAGTGTAGTCCTTGCACTCAGAGGCTGAAGCAGAAGAGTCACTGTGAGTTTGAGGCTAGCATAGGTCAAATAGTTCAAGGTCAGCCTGAGCTACATAGTGAGACCCTGCCTCAGAGAAAAGAAAACCAAAGAAAATCAAAGAAAAGAAAGAGGGGAAAGGAAAAATTTTAGATACATAGATAGAAAGAATTGGGGATTATTTGAATAAACTTAAGAGCCTTGGGAGTAAATGTGTGTCTTTAAGAAGTACAAATTTAGAAATGAAAGAGGCCAAAAATAGAACTATGAGAAACATCCCTGTTTCTGAGAGGAATGCTGAAAGGCCAGCCAAAAAGGAAGCCTGAGAAGATACGGCTTTATGCAGAGAGAGGAGGATGTCATGGAAACTAAGGAAAGGAAATCTCAGAAGGGGTGAGTGGGAAGAGCTCCATGCAGAATTCTCAAGCGAGTGGAGAGTCATGCAATTTCATTGAGGGAGTTGGCTGCAGAGGGGCCAGAGAGTTTATGTCATGCCCCACGGGACAGGAGCTGAATAGATGCAGTAAAAAAAAAATCACATGTGGACAGATCCTGCAAGGGTTTTTTGATGTTGGCTTTGTTAGCTCATTGGTCTGTGTGACCAGGACACAGGATGCCCAGTGCTTGCAGTAGTAGCATAGTTTGTGCTCTGTTTTATATGACATGGTCAAATGGATTTAGCACCCACAATCTGGGATGGACACATTAGAAGAGAGGAGACAGAAGAGACTCTGCCTGAAAGGGAAGATCTGGGAGCTCTGCACAGGGTAAAATCTATAGTCTTTGTAGACCTGGTCAGAGACTGAGAAGGGCACTCATGAAGGACATGGTGACAGTTTGCTACTTGGACTGTTCACATGGCCTTTTCAAACATAGCATGAGCATGACGTATTTTCTTACTATTTATCAGATACTTGGACTGAGTTTACTCAGGGTTACACATTTTATTTCCCTAAATTTAGACTGCTGGAGAAGTGAAACTATACAGAGCACAGGTTTTCGATGGGTACAGCAAAGCAGAGTTTGTTTGTCTATTCAGGCAATTTTTCTAACCCAACGACCTTTATATTCTTATTGCGGATCACACCTTTATTTCTTTTTCTTTTTCTTTTTTTTTTTTGAGACGGGGTCTCACTATGCAGTTCAGGCTGGCCTTGAGTTCACGTTGCAGCCCAGGCTGGTCTCGAACTCGCAAGATCCTCAGGTGTGAGCCACCACGCCCCCTGGCGTGGATCACACCTTTAATTCAACAGCAACAACAAGAACAACAACAAAAAGAGAGATAAAGAATCTCAATTATTCACTTGTCAACTCACTTTCAGTTTACAAAAATTATTTGTAAATTAAATAAAGGTAATACTATTCTAAAATTGTATCCACCTTAAGAAATGTACACAAAAGTAAATGGTAAGACTGGGAATGTAAATTCAGTGGTACAGTGTTCTTTCCACGTGCCAGGCCCTAGATTTGATCACCAGAACCACAGTAAGGAAGTAAATAAATCAATACATAAATAAGGAAGGAGTTATAATGGGCTAAGCAATGGCATGCTAATTTAATTAAAATGTTACTTATCAGTACAAACTCTTTTGCTCTCATAAAGTTCTTAATATTTTGGGCTAAGAAGATTGAACACATTGCTTTAAAAAAAATCTTGGTAAAACCTATGATGATGAAGTAATTTGAACATGTTGTTCTTGGACTCATTATGTACCCCAGGCTGGCCTTGAACTTGCAATGATCCTCCTGCCTCAGCTTCCTGCGTGCTGGGGTTATAGACATGTTCCACCATGCCTGGCATGAATTTCTTTCTAAAAGCAAGTTCTTTCTGATTGTTAAGAGATTATCTTTACCTCAAAGGGACAAAGTCAACATTTTTGGTCTCCAAAACATTTGTCAGATAGCATCTTATGGAACGCATTTACCAAAGGAAGTACAGCAAATTTGAAACCACTCTTTTTAAAAAGGACACTGAATAATGTTGCTGTCAGAACACAGCAGCAAATCACTGTGTGATTTCCAGTCTTTCCTAAAGGGACTGTTACAAAATATTCCTCACCTCCCTGCTTTTTAAATAAAATTCACCTCATTGATGATATTTTGTAGCAATTGGTGAACTTCTGGCTTCAGTTTCTGTGCTGGGATAATTTGTTTGTGAATGAGTTAGTGTTAAATTTTGTGTGTAACGCAGCTTCTGTAATTTAATCCCAGAATTTTTTGCCCCTGGAGTACTGAGGATTGAATCTGGGGAATGATGAGCTACATCCTTAACCCTTTTTTTAATTCTTTTTTTTTATTTTGAGAGAAGATCTTGTTTGATTGCTTCAGTGAGCCTTGATTTTGCAGTCCTCCTGCCTCAGCCTCCTAATTGCTGGGACTACAGGCATGTGCCATGATGCCCAGCTAATACCAGAATTTTAATTTCCGTATAAAAATTGCTTCATTAGTGGTTGTTTTATTCTGTTTATTTCCTTTTTGGTGCTAAGGGTTGTATCTAGGACCTCAGGCATACTAAGCATTTACTCTATCACTGAGTTCCATCCTTAGTCTAAGGTTCTCTTTATTGTTTTTTATTGTTATACAATTTTAAAAGGTCATTTGATTAAAGAAATACTTTTTTTTTTTTTTTAACCGGTACCAGGGATCAAATTTATGACCACTCACTTGCAAAGCAGGCGCTTAGGCCCCTGAGCTAACCCACCCAGCCCCTATTAAAGAAATATTTTATTGTTTAAAATATACCTCTCTTAGCTTCTCTGCTAAGCTTTTTATTTAGTAGTTCGCAAAAACATAAGCGTTTCCAGGTATACTATCATTGAAACAGGATCAAGAAGACACCCTAAGTAGTAGCATGTTTGAAATAGCCGTAATTTCTTGCAACAGTTGAGCTAACTTCCCACACTGTGCAATTTATTCCAATATGTGTGTAATTTATTCCAATACATGTTTCTTTGCATCTAAGGCAATGTTTTCTTTTCTTTTTTTTCTCCTGGTTTTTTTTTTAATCGGTACTGGGGATCGAACTCACAATTGCCTGCTTGCAAGGCAGGCGCTTATGCCGCTGAGCTAAATCCCCAGGCCCAAAGGCAATGTTTTCCAAGTGTCTTCGAACTATTCCTGACACATTAATGTATAATACTTTGCAGCCATGTTTTCTGGTTAAAATTTGTTTTTATTTATGTGTATAAATACATTATTATCATTTGTCTTTTTGAGACAGGGTCTCACTATGTAGTTAAGGCTGGCCATGGGCTCACTTTGTAGCCCAGGCTGGTCTCATACTTGCAAATGATTCTCCTGCCTCAGCCTCCCAAATGCTGGGATTACAGCAGTGTGCCACCATACTTGGCTTTTTATCACTATTATTTTAAAAACTTTCCCAAAGGGGTCAGGAATTTAGCTCAGCGGCATAAGCACCTGCCTGGCAAGCCCAAGGTCATGAATTCAATCCCCAGTACCAAACAACAGCAACACAAAAAACCTTTCCCAGAAATACTTGTAATCTCAGCACTTGGGAGGCTGAGGCAGGAGGATCCTAAATTTGAGGCCAGTCTGGCTACATAAAAAGCTCAAGGCCAATTTGTGCTACATGGCACACACTGTGTCTCAAAAACAAAACAAAACAGCAAAGCAAAACAAAATAAAACAAACCAGAACAACAACAAACCAACCTTTTCCAGAAACAACCAATGTTTCCCCTATATGTGGCTTTTGCTCTTCTTCTTTTTTTAAATTTTATTTTAAAGAGAATAAAATCAAACAAAAACAGGAAAAAGCCAATCAAAACAAAACAGTGATAACAAGACTTCAAAACAGGAAAATAAACCGGGCGTGCCTGTAATCCCAGCACTGGGGGGTGGAGGGGAACCTGAGGTGGGAGGATCCTTGTGAGTTCGAGACCAGCCTGGTGAGCTCAAGGCAGCTTGAACTACATAGCGAGACCCCATCTCAAAAAAGGATAAAAAAAAAAAAAAGGTGGGGAAAAAAAAAACCCCAGGATAATAGGAAACCAACAATGGCTACCATAATGCTTCTTGTTATCTTCGAAATTGCTGTCCATACCATCAGACATAACAAAATCAAACAAAACAGAACAGAATAAAACCAATCAAAACAGAACACTGAACAAAACAAAACAGTGAGAACAATGTTGGATTTCAAAAACAAGACAGAAGGAAATCCCCCATGGTTGCTATATTGTATATTGTTATCTGCTAAATAGATACTCAGACCACTGGCTTTAGGCCTGCAGAGTCAATCAAACAACACAGTCATTAAATTGTTTTTGTACCTTAGTTGTTATCAACTCAGCCTATGCTCCTCTGAATCAGCTTTGCCTGGGGTGGGGTGAGGTGTTTCTTGTCTCCCAGCCCTGGGCTGGCTGGCTTACAGGAAGGGTGAATTGGCTTCTTGTTTCTCTTCCTGGCCCTGCATGGTTGGTTCCTGCTGGCTCATGGGAAGGGTGAACTGGCCTGTTCTTTTGGTATTAAATAAGAAACCCTAGTTGGGCATGGCAGCGTACACTTGTAATCTGGGAGGCAGAGGCAGAAGGATTGCAAATTCAAACACAGTTTGGGCAATTTAATGACTTAGTGACCTGTCTCAAAATGGAAAATAAAACCAAGGCTTGAGATGTAGCTCAGTGTGAAAGCCCTAGGTTCAATTCCTGGGTAGTGCATTTAAAAACTAAAAAGGTCCCTAGAGTCTCAGTCAGAAGATGCACTGAAGCTGGCTAGATTAGAGGTGAGGACACAAGGTAGAGACCCATTCCAGACTGAGTTGATGATCTGAGGTTGAATCTGGTGATGAACATGGACGGGAGGGCTTGGGATCAACAATATCAATTGCTGGCAGCAGAATGAGCCTCATGTATAGTGTTAGACTCAAAGAGAAGGAATAGGTGAAGTTTGCTTTTCTCTTCCTTTCCTCTCCCTCATTCTCTTCCTTCCTTGTCTCGTGTACTGGGGATTGAACTCAAGGACCTTCACACTGACCTATATTCTCAGCTCCTGCCCCTCTCTTGAAACAGGTCTTACTATGGAGTTTAGGCTGGCCTAAGCCTGCTATGTAGCCCAGGCTTGTCTGGAACTTCTGCCTAAGCCTCTTGGGTGCTGGGACTACAGGAGTGTGCCTTTGTCCTACTCTATTTATTTATTCATTTATTATTGAGGCAGGCTTTCCCTTAACTGAGTAGATGAATCTCCCAGGCTGGGCTTGAATTTGTAGTCCTTCTGCCTCAGCCTCTTTGAACACTAGATTTGAGCCGTGCAGCACCACATCTGGCTTGTAAGTGCCACTTTTGGAGAAAGCAGTCACAGAGGAAAACGGATCCTGCTGTTTGAGTGCGTTGGCCTGAGTTATGTAGAATGGATTAGGTCAGGTCTGTGAGGGGGTGAGGTTGGAAAGAAGCTGACCCATGCTGCCCCAGTAACCGGGGCCTGCGCTAGGTGAGACAGCAACTCTGGCGCTGGGCTGGGCATTCAGAGTTGCCCTTGATGGTGCAGGAGGACCAGACAGATGTTGGCTGGCCCATGGGAAGAGGCGAATCTTTGAGAAAGAGTTCCCGAGAGCTGTCAGAGACAGCGGCCCTGGGAAGTATGCAGCAGGGGACTCAGATGTGAACGGCTAGCAGCTAATATTCTCAGCAGCTCTAGGAATAGAAGTGAACACCCTCAAGAGACAACCGAGGCAAACCACTTTGTTATCTACATTATCCATTGTCCTGGTGAAAGAGTGTGTGTTTAATTTGGGGATTATTTACTCCCCGGTGCCTGTGGGGTTCAGTGGCTTGTGTCCGCAATGGTGATGTCTGAGGACAAAAAGGGTTAAGATGAAGACCATGTGCCCCAGGCAGAGTCTACACTGCAGGAGACCCACAGATCTCTTCTCCAGAGGATCCGAGTCCCAAGGCCTGTGTGCTCCCTTTTCTTTCTGGAAAGCCCTCCAGGATTAAGCCGACTGGCTTTTCCTTTTCTCAAATGCCTCCTGGATTCCTGTTCTTTTTTCCTTTCCCCTTGGATGTAGAGAGTGAGGAAACAAACCCAAACAAGAATGCTTTTGAAAAGAAGCCCAAGTGCCATGTGAACGTTAACAGGGCTAGGAAATCTTAGAAAGTTCTTAACAGACTCTTTTGGGCCACGGTTTTGGAAGAGGCTTCTTTGCCCCTATTGCAAACCCTGTAATTGGGGCTCTCCTTCCATTCCTGAAGGTACTGCTGTAAAACTAGCCATTTTAATTTGTCCCTACCCTTTTCTTTCTTTGGACAAGACCAGCTTTCCAAGCTTTAGCACTTAGGTCTAAAGAGACAGCAGGAGGTAAGAGTTAATGGATCTAGCCAGTAGCCAGGACCTAGGAAGTCGTTCAAATATCTCGGGGCCTCCTGAATAATGTCTGACTCTGAGCCCAACCCCCACTTCTTCAGGTCTCTCAGTGAAAGGCTCTTGCAGGGGTTTCCAAATTGAGATTGAGAAAAGGGAGGTGGCTTTGCTATAGAAAGTCTACTTATGAAATTGCTAACAAAGGATAAGGCAAATTCCTTTCTTCAGTCTATTTCTGTCACGGATAATAATTTAAACCTGGCTGTGATTTATTCTAAGGATATGTTTTTGGAAAAAACAAAGATCAATAGCTAGATGTTCCTAAAAGAAATGATAGAATTCTGTTTTCCTTTTCCTTCCTTGGTCACTCTGCTGCAAATCTTTAAATTATTACTCTAGGCTCAAACATTGTAACAATTTATTTAAAGCCAAGCTAACAAATTTAACACCATAAATTCTCTGTAAACACCTAGGTCTATCATGGTTTGAGCTCAAAAATGTGCTGCTGAAGCCTGGTTTAGAAGTAGTTTGCAAGGCCTTTGATGATGAGATAAAGAAAAGGCTTTCTTTCTCTCCTGGAACACACCTTTTGTGTGCTCTGCCTAACAAAAGAATCTCACAACTTCATGGTGGAATTTGGAGGGAAAGCATGATAGCTACATGCTTCTGCAGAGCCTGCTTCCAACCACAAAAGATTAAAAAACAAAATAAAACAAAAAAGCTAGGGCTTTGCAGTACACTGATTGGAGGAAAAAGTAAGACACCGAGAGCAATAAAAATAGCAGTAACAATATCCCAATGGATTTGGAATTCCTTTAGTTTCTTTTTGGCTTGAGAATCAGATGATTTCTTTGTTCTGCCCTTCCTTATCTACTGTACTCAGATAATAGCTTTATTTCAGTCTTATAGTCAAATTACTATTTTATTATGCTCAAAGCAGAACAGTGCAAAAGGTAGCTTTTACATATGTAGAGTAATAGAATGAACCTTTTGGTATCCATTTTTTGGAAGAAGGTAGTATCTTTTTTTAAAAAAACTTAGAAATAAAAGCTTTTTCAGCTGTGAAATTCAATGATTTTGCAAAATGGACTAAGGTTAGGTGCTCTGCTTTTAATTATTGGTCTATCTGGCAAAGGAATTTCTCTGAACACCTTCTTGTAAAAATAGAACTGAGATCATTTGCTAGAAATTATTATTTTTTACTTTTTGGTAGCTAACAGTATTTGAAGGCAGATGCAATATTATCTGTGGCCATTTGTGCAAATGATGAATTGTGCTTTTAAACCAAATTTAGCCAAGGGTTGACCAAAGTATTGAGTTTGTGTAGAAACTGGCTCAAAAAGCATTATGAAACCACATGAGGCAGTTGTGCAGCTAAAGACTTCTATGATAAATACTTCAGATTTTGATTTTGGAAGTACAACTCTTGTAACCATTCAAATGCTGCAGTGCGATTTCAGCTCTAAGAGAAGGTGATGGGGGAGGGGCAAGAGAGCATGTTAAGTAAACAAAGACTCCAAATCTATGAAACCTAGAATTTGCTATGGTATGTATACTGTGAAACGCCATAGATTATCATATTCATAGTGTATCAAGATCTCAGATTATCAGGGCATTGTACACTCTTCAATGCACACAAGTTTCTTTTTTTTTAACATGCACAATAAAGGCCTACCTTTGGGTGAATTAAAAAGGCTTCCTTTCAAATGAAACCAAGGCCAGGTAAAGTTGAAACTCAACACACAGAGTGCTGGCATTGTTTTCAGGCTAAAAGAAGATGAGAGTTTCAATTTCATCATCTTGTAACACTGATAAATGTGCTGCTGTGGCCAGCAAAATTTGCAGAGTACATAGATCTTTCTAAACGTGGGTAAATATGCAGATGGGCACTCCCATTTATGTGCAACTTCGATGTGCTGTTTGAAATTACAGACTTCCATGTGATAATAATTGCAATCATTTGTATGAAAAGTGTTAACAGTCCCCTCCAAAAAAAAAAACCTTACTTGATATCTGCATCATATGATGCACCTCTAACAGAAAACAATGGCCTCCTCAATGGAAGCTAATGCAAGAAACAGGACTACTGAGATTTTTTTTTTTAAACATTTCTGCAGTTTCCAGACATTAACTAATCAATCTAATTTAAAATAAAGCACCTAGGAATGCTTCCTCCGCTGGGTCTTCAGTGCTACTCCCCTGGTATTAGTGTCTTCAGGGTAGGATTAAACAAGAGTGTGCCTTTTTAAGAGGTAATGGTGACATTTTTTCACATCTTCCCATTTTGTCCTATTTCCAGTGTCAGCACAATTAGCTTAACATGGAGGCTTCTCTGTCGTTTTAACCTTCCAATGGCGTGCATGCCTGGGAATATAGGAAGACGGACATGGGCTGAAAAACAGCCTAGTTCATCTGGAATGGAAATACATTGTCTCACTCTAGGATGGGTTATGATCCCCCCCCTTCATGGCCTTTGGCGGGTTTATATATGTATCTTTTTGTGTTCTGTAAGCTATGACCACCTGCTGTATGTACAATATGTGCTTGTTACATTTACACACCATCTCCTTTCTACAATTTAAAGACCCAGCTATTACATCTTGTTTACTCAATATCATTCCAGCTAAAGAAAAAACCCTACATGAACAGAACATGCCATGTTTCAATCTGGCCCCACTGGCTTTTTCTCTGAACGCAAAACGTGTGTCTTTTACACCAGGGCTTTCTCCCCACCCCAGGGGGTGTCTTCCATTCTTTTGTGGCTCAGTTTAAGGCGAAAAGGGCTCCAAACCACTAACTAACCAGAGGAGAGCCCCTTCTTCCACCTCCAGGGAGAATTTCAGATTTAATTCCTCTGAAGATAGCGTGCTCTCTTCTTACTTATTGCCACCATTACGAGGAGAACAGAACACCACCTTGGCTTCAAGATCCTGCCTGGGTAGAGGCTCACGGTCTTTCTCAACCATCTTTGGCGAGGCCTTGCTTCCTTCCACTCGAGTAAGTTGCGGCTTGGGGCCATGGCAAGGACTGGGTGAGAGTCTGAAATGTCGTTTAAAAAAAAAGCAGCCCTCCCTTCGTCCCCTCACCACCACCACCACCCCCGGCTCCGCGATTCCGGGCGAAGCTGCAGCCGGCGGCCCCGAAAGGGCGAGACTTGGCAGGTCTGCGGGGCGCCTCTCCGCCGCCGCGGGGCTCGGGCGGCAGCGGCCGCGGGGCTTCGCGCTCCGCACCGCCGCGTTCCCCGGGTCTCCCTTCCCCCGCGCCGCCCCCTCCCCTCGCCGCGCTCCCTTTTGTTCGCCCTCCGCCGCCGCCGCCGCCGCCCGGGCCCGCACCCCAGCCTAGGCCCCGGCCCGGCGGGCCGGCCGCTGACGCCGCCGCGCGGCCTAGAGCGCGGGCCCGGGAGGCGCAGGGCGGCCGGGCGCTCGGCGAGGCCGCGCGGTGGCGGCGGCGGCGGGCGGTTGCGGGCCGCGGGCGGCGGCGGCGGGCGAGGCCGCTGCTCTGCACACGCACACACAGACCCCGGCGGCGCGAATGCAGCCGACACGCCCGTAACATGGAAGCCGCCGCCGCCGCCGCCGCCGCCGCCGCTCCGACGACAGCAGCAACGGCCCCTGCAGCAGCAGCCGCCGGCGGCGCCGCGCGGAACAAAGGTCATCCGAGCTGCGGCCCGGACGCCCGGGCTTGACCGCTGCGAAGAGGCCAACCCCGGGCAGGGGGTGGGTGTGTGTGCGCCTCCGCGCGGGGCGACCCGGGGTGGCCGGGCAGCGAGGGGCGCGGGTGGGCGCCGGGGACAGCGAGGCAGGGCGCTGGCCCCTCGTGCCACCCTGCGGGTCGGGCTGAGCGCGCGAGGCGTAGGCCCCACGGCCTGCTGCAGTGGCCTGTCCCACCCTCGCCCAGAGGACAGCTGGCCTTCGCGCCCCACCGGTTTCTGTGGGGGGCCCCGAGTAAGGACCGGTTTGGCTAGGCCCCACCGGCTGGAGAGGGGGCCACGTGAGCGCCGGCCTGCTGCCTCCCCCTCCAGCGCTGGCTGCAGATGATTTTTGCAAGGCCTCGGAGTGGCCCCTTTCCCCCAGTGCCCTGCTTCACTTGTCCCCCACCGCCCCATACATCCCCCGTGTTGTACCCCGAGGTGAAGGGATTTGGACTCACCACCCCCCCAGGTGCTTGAAAGAAGAGAAGGTTGGAGGAGGAGGAAGAGATTGGGGGGGCTGCTGGTGGTGGTGACAGGGCTGGGAGAGAAAGGAGAGGGACGGAAGGGAGGAGGGGGCTGGGTGGGGTGGGGGTGACAGGCAGAGAGGAGCCTGGTCAACAAGCCAGCACCACTCTGCTAGGAGGCCTGGTCGGCTCGCAGCCGACGCATCCTGTGTGAGGAGACACACATAGATTGCTTTCTTGGGGGCTCTTTGTCAGCCACCAACACAGGGAACACACACTGACACACACGTACACAAAGATCTGAGCCAGGTTGTGGGAGGTAAGTGGGGGAAGGAGAAGGAGGGGGAAACAGTGTCTGGTGGGCTTCGCGGTGGAGGGAGGGGGAATGCGCCCTAAGGGGCTCTGGGGGGCTGGTGAGGTGAGCATTTCCAAGGCTGCGTGCTTGTGTGGTGGTGGGGGGACACACGATGACCTTCTCTTCCTAAGAAAGACCTAAAAGGGAGAGGCAACCCCCAGTGAGATCCCCCCGGTGCTGATGATTTTCAGGGACTTGTTGGCAACTCAGCGAGGGTTGCCATAGCTTTTTTATGTAGGGTGACCAGAACCGGCTGAAACTGGTTTGAGGCAGATCAGCTCCTGAACACAATGCAGTCACTGAGCTACTACAGTGGGATAGCAGCTTCCTCCCTTCATGGCAGCCAAAAGCAGAGGAGCTTGCAGGAAGGTGCCATCCCAACACAGTATGTGAATGCACACTTAGACACCACACAGCACTGGTACGTGACTAATGGAGCCCTAAAAGATCCTGTGTAGAGACGATGGGGAAAAAGGTGCAGGTTTGCAGGGTCTGAGATTACTTGGGCTTTTGCTGCCTTTTTCTTTTGCTTAAGGGATGGACAAGGAGCTGAGATTTATGACCCTTATTAAAGAAAAAAATGTGCCTTGCTAGGGTGGGGACACTTGGTTTATGCAGTCTCTCTCTCTGTGTTTTTAACAAAACCAAACCAGAATGAACTGATGGATTTGTAATGGTAGTTTGTTTGTTGCTGAAGAATGCTACTTTGCATGCCTTTTTTCTCTTGCAGGGTATGTTCTGTTTTGTGCTTTTCCTTTTAGAAGCTACTAAAGGGTGTTTGGGATACTTCTGACTATTATGAAGGCCAAAAGGTAACAATATTGTTCTAGGGAGAAATGAGCATAAATGCGTTCCAATGATGCTGTTAGCCATACATGCTGTCTTTTTTTTCCTTGTAGGCCTGTTGACTGGGGCTGCTTTTAACCCTTTCATATTTGCAGAGAATGCAACCGTGTGACAGTAACTGAACACTGATCCAAAGTCTTTCCAAAAGGTCAAGGTTCACAAGGTGAGATATGCTATTTTGAGCATGAATTTAAGTACTTATTTGCAGATCCAATTCAAACACAGACTGACAGTGGATTGGTACCCTGGTGATAAAACGGGGTTCGGAGTGGAGAAGAAATGTTATCCACGTTTAATGGGATTTCGAGTGACTTTTTTGAAGGTATTGCTATCAAGGTGAAATCTGAATGCCTTCATTAAAATCGCATGTGCCTGGGCATTTGGAGCTGTCCTGCCTGGAAAGAGGCAAGTTCAGAGAAGAGTAGGCGGCAGGGCCTTGTGGAGAATAGGCTGTTTTGCATAAGGCTGAAGCAGTACACATGTGGCATTTTCCTGATCATTGTGAGAGAAGGAAGGGCTTCACCAAATTGAGGAAGCCAAGCCACCTTTTTAGGATTTGAGGAGCCTGGAGGTAGATTTGCCTTTTGTTCATTCATCACCTTTCATTTTACCATGCTGTGTTAACCTTAGAAAGGCTTTTCACTTCGAGGCAAGTGGTGGAATGTCTTTTATTGATTTTGGGGGCTGTTGACGGTGAGTTCGCCATTGGATTATTTGTGGCATACATTTTAATGTAGAATACTAATGCAAGACCAGGAGGAAACCGGATAGTCTAGCTTATTCTGTGCAAAGGTGCCTGCTAACTCACAGCTCTACTGTAATGGGTGGTAGAAATGTCTGTGCCTCAGATGATTGCAGTTGGATTTGAGCTGGCATTTTCATGCACCCTCCCAAACCAGAGGTTGGGTAATAGAGGAGAGGAGGAAGCATAAGGAGTGTAGCAAAGTGAAGAACAAAGGCTGTGGGAGCTTTCAGGGGAACACTAAACATTTTGCCTTGGGGTTCCTTGTGAAAAGAACTGCAACTTCCCCAAACAGGAAACCAGTCACTCCAGAGTCGGATCCAACATGATCTCAGCAACAGAACTGGTTCTGCCTTTCTGCTGGTTTGGTGGAGGTACAGTCAGGAAGAGACATGATTGCAAATAAATTTCTCCCTCACTTTGAAGTGGATATTTTGTTCCTCTCTTGTGTTCTACAGAATAGTCTTGTCAAAAATGCCCAGGATCTTGGGAATTGGTTAAGTTTTATGCTGGCAGTTGTTGGGCATATGCAAAGATTTTTATTGTTGAAATGTTTTCATTTGGCTGCAGAGCATTGCCTGTGTGATACAACTGGCAAAAGGGGAAACAAGAGTGCATGATTAGCTTGCAATTCTTTATGTGGTGTTTAATAGAAATAAATGTAATGTCAGATGGATATACCAGTAAGTAAATAGCTTACATGATGGAACAAAATTCTTTGCAAATCACAGTGCTAAAATCGGTTTTCAATTCTACCTCATTTTCGATTGCCAGAGGTTCTGCAGATGACTGTGGCAGAAATATGCTTGCATAGCAGATCCAAATCCATGTTGCATGATACGCTGCTCCTGCATTTCTGGTGCCAACTAAAACTCAGATGGTTAATATGATAAACCTTAATTAGCTTAATACAATAAGCTGTTTTACCATTTAGTCCTTCATTCTAGTCTTTCTAGAGTCAGTGATTTTTATTTAACTTTGACAGTTCAGTCCTTGCGATGATTATTTTTTAAGAAACATGTTTAAAAAACCTTTTTAGGCACACCATGGCATGGAATGTTCTGGTTTACTCTCTTGGAGGTTTTCAGCTTTGTTCTTCCCCTTCCCCCTAGAAGTCTTCCTGAAAATAGCATTCGTTTTGCATTTAAGCCAGTCTTTCCAGTTGCAAATGCTGCTTGAAGGTTAGGGAGCTAGTTCTCCAGGCAGCGGCCATGAGCTCATCCTGGACTGGGGCTTGCCCCAGGTGTTGATCCCATGCTGGGGTATAACAATGTAGCAGGCCCAGGTCTCCCTGGAGAGAACCCAGTGCGTCCTGGGGAATTAGCAAAGGCGAGCTCCTCCCTGAGAGAAGCAGGAGGGAACTCGGAGGCACCCCCACAGTTGGGGCGGGTGCGGGCTGGGGGAGGCGGTGGGGGGGCGGGGAGCGCGGCTGTGCTGGAGCCTGGGCCTGGCGCCTGGCTGGGAGTGCCTGGGGCAGTCTCTGAAGAAGACCTGTGGGCCATTCTTTCAGCTGCAGGAATGTGTGGGTTTGGCTCAGAACAGACTGGAAAGAAAGTGTTTTATCTTTTGCCTGAAATTGAGTCATATTTTCCGTGTTAAAGAATGGTGGATGCAGGGTTTTGAGAAGTCTCAGCCTAGGCTGTTTGGGAGCCCTCTTCTGTTCTCTCCTCAGAGACCCGCCCCCCTTGACTTATTTTTTAGGAAGGAATAGCCAACACGTAAGTGGAATAATTTGCTTATACCTTTGACTTGGATGAGTTTCTTCCTCTGAGATGCTTTCTTGGGCTTTGCTGTGGAATACAGTGTGTCCTTGGTGGCTTTTGAGTATCCCTGGGCTTCCCCTATCCCTGGTAGAACTCAACTCTGAGCTGGTGCCCAGGCTGCCTTCCTGTGGAACCTTAAAAAGACACCAGTACAAGAGAAGCTGAAGAGATCTAAGAGACATTTGGGGTTGCTCCTTCTCTATTCCAAAGAGCTCTTCTTAATTCTAAATCTTACCAGCAAAACAAGAACAGCCGCCATGATGAACACTACAGAAATCTATGCCTTTGTGGTAATTATATTTTAGGGGTAATTTTTAAGCAAACATGACATAGGTAAAGAATCGACTTTTTTGGGGTGTGTGTGTGTGGTATTGAGGATTGAACCTAGGGTCTTGTGCATGCTAAGTAATTGCTCTGCCATTGAGCTGCACCCCTATCCCTTTTTAGTTTGAGACGGGGTGTCACTAAATGCCCAGGATTGTGTGATACTGCTGTCTCAGCTGGGTTATATGCATGCACCGCTGTCTCCAGCAAAAATTAACTCTTCTTTTGGTGGTACTGAACCCCTTTGTACTAAGATTCCATCTGTGGTCTTTATTTTGAGGCTGTTGCTAAGTTGCCCACAGTGGGCTTCAACTTTTGATCCTCTCATCTCAGCCTCCCAGAGTGCTGTGCTCATAGCCATGTGCGCCGTGCCGAGCTAACTCGCAGTTCAGGAGATTGAACTGCGAGTTAGTGCGCCCAGGCAAGCGCACTACCTCTGAGCTACATCCCTGTCCTTTTAAACGTTTTAGTTGGAGCTTAGGTTTCTCTAAATTACTCAAGGGCAGATCTTGATTTTATCAGTCCTCTTGTCCCAGCCTCCTGAATAGTTGGGATTACAAGCATGTACCATTATGATGGTCAAGAATGACATTTTAAAAATTTTTATTTACATGCAGTGAAATTTACTTCGTGGTGTACGGTTCTTTTGACATGTGTATAGTCATGTATTTACCACTATAATCAACTCATAATAATCCCATCGTGTCAACATTTCCTGTGCTGCCCCTTTGTGATACGTGCCCCCTTTCCTTCAGTGGAACAGTAAGGCCTTCATACTGAGCTACATCCCCAATCTTCTTTATTTTTTCTTGGAGAACTCTTTTTGTCTTTGAACCCGGGATCAAACTTAGGACCTTGTACATGCCAGGCAGGAGCTTGTGCCACTGAGCCCCAGCCCTCGACCCATTTTCATTTTTATTTTGAGACAAAGAGTCTTGCTAAGTTGCCCAGGCAGGACTCACTCTTGGCAATCCTGTCAGCTTCCCAGAGTTCTGGGCTTAAGACATGGCCCACCATACCCACCTCCCCTTTGTATTTGGGCTTTTCTCTCCACAGCCAGTCAGTGTCCTTCTCTTGGGACATTATTCTTTGTCTCTGGTATTCTGACTTTTCCAGGATGTCATAAAAATGGCTTCTTAGCAAAATGGCATTTGTGGTTTGCTGGGTGTGGTGGTGCAAGCCTGTAACTCCAGCACTTGGGGCTGAGGGATTGCTGAGACTTTGAGGCCGGCCTAGAAAATAAAGAAAGAGCCTGACTCAGGAAAAAAACAAAAAAAGCATTCGTGTTTCATCTATCTGTATTTTGCATGTCAATACATTTTTATTGCTGGTTAGTATTTTGTATTCCACTGTGTTGATCTATCACAATTTATTCACCGCTTGGGGAAATCAGAGCTGTTTCCAGTTTTTAGGTTTTTCTGGGAATATGAGGTTTTTGTTTTTGTTTTTTGAGTCTAGTTTTGCTCTGTTGCCCTGACTGATCTTCAGCCTCTGTGCTCAGCTGATCCTCCTGCTTCAGCCTTCCAAGTGTAAGTTTTCATTTCTCTTAATAAATACTTAGCATTGTCTGCCTGGGTCTTGTGGTGTATTTATAAGAATTAAAAGTATGTTTGAAAGTAAATTCAGCTCATCTTAACTCACAGAAAAGATCTGGCCTTGACAGCTTCAGCAAAGATTTCTCAGGAAAGAGTCAGTGAATGTTGAAGATGCTTGTGAAATGATCATGATAATAGAATAGTGTTTAATAGGATGACATGCTTTATAACCCTGAACTAATCCGAATTATCAAAAGTGGAAACAAAAAGCTGCAAGCGGTGAAATTGCAATAGTTTAATTGCAATAGTTACTTTTTATCTCTCCAGAAAAATTTGGTAGTTTAATTTTTACATTTATCTTCAGGTTCATTAAAAGACCACACGGTAATAGAATTGAAATTTAGGAAGGCACTGCTGAGGATCTTTGTTGAAATTTCAGTTGTGTGTATATAATGTAATTGAGATATCAACTGCTAAAATATTAGTGGTACTCCAATATTTGAAGTCATTAAATATTATTCAGCTTTTTTTTTTTTTGTCTTTTTGATCAGGGTCTCACTATGAAGTTCCGGCTGGCCTTGAGCTTACTTTGTAGCTCAGGCTGGTCTCAGATTTGCAGTGATCCTCCTGCCTCGCCTCTGCAGTGCTGGGATTATAGGTGTGCACTACCACACCCGGTTTATTCAGCTTTTGTTTGTTTGTTTGTTTTTTTACTTTTTTGAGACCAGGTATTATAGTCCCAGCTAGTCTTGACCTTGCTATCTTTTTGCCTCAATTTTTCAAACATTATTCAGTTTTGATCCCTTGTAAGAAAGTGAAAATAGTTAAGCACTCTGAAAGCAATGAAGATGGGAGATTTAGAAACAGATTCTTTTTTTAGGGTAAAAAAGCTTTTAAGGTCTAGAAGAATAAGAAATAATGGTGGTATAGAGCTCAAGAAGTGGCAAATGATGTTGATTTGGGATCTTAAAGCCATTAACAGACACTTTCCTGATGACCAGGCATTGCGCTGGGGGCCTGGGAATCCAGAGGGAAGAAGAAACCAGAGAGAAAAATTCAGTGGGAAGTGGCCTACAGAAACTACGATAGGAATGTGAATGGTCACCTGATGCCAGCGTGGGGAGGTGGCTTCCTAGCCAGGAAATACCAGTGAGAATGTGGCAGCCATGGGGAGGCTGAGAGAGCTTGGTGTGTGTTGGGTGGTGGAGGGGCAGGGTGGGGGCACTCCAATGCAGACGGGAGGCAGACCAGAGCCTTGCGGTGCCATCTTTCTGTAGGATCCCTTTCAGTGTGCACGTACTTCCCCACCCTTCCTCACCAAGGTCCTCTGGCAGCACCCTGAAGGATGGAGTAGAAGCTGTGAGACCAGAGGACAGGAGGGTGCTTGAGGGAACCCCTGCAGTAGTCCAGGGGGGACCTGCCAGGGCTGTGGATCTAAGGTGTTGCTTGTGGGGCTGGACCGGTGGGGAATAGCTGTGTAGGGGCCCAGGTATGTGGGGACACCTGATGAGATGTGGAGAATGATGGGGAGTGATGGGGCAGTGGAGGGTGCTCCAGAGATGCCACCTAAGCTCGCTTGGCCTCTGACACTTTTGTCTCTGGGTCAGGGGCAGAAGACATGGGGAAGAGTAGAACTGGAGGGACTCAGCATTGATGTATTCAGATTTGGGTTCAGGCGCCTGGGGAGGAGCCCTTTGCTCCTCTGCTGTGACAGCCTGCAGTATGGGAGGCCTGTGTGGAGCTGAGGCCCAAACTGGGTATACTGCGGTGTCCCCCTTCTCCATGGGGGACACATCCCAAGACTCCGAGTGGGTGCTGAAACCTTGGATAGTACTAAACCCCATATGTGCTGTTTTTCCCTATATATGCATACCTATAAGTTTCAATGTGTAATTTAGATGTAGTATGAAATTGCCAAATAACTAATAAATAAGACAATTTAACAATAGATTGTAAGAAAAGTTCTTTAAAACTTATTAACAATTTAGGCTGGGCATGATGGTGCACACATATAATCCCAGCACTTGGGAGGCTGAGGCAGGAAGGTGATGAGGAGTTTGAGGCCAGCCTGGGCTACATAGTCCAGACCAGCCTGAACTAACTACATAGTGAGATCTTGTCTACAAAAAAAAAAAAGTTTGTTTCTGTGATTTTTCATTTAATATTTTTAGACCACTATTGCCCTTGGGGAACTGAAACCTCAAAAAGTTAAATCACAGGCAAGAAGGAACTTCTATAATTAGCATAGAACAGAGCCAGTAGAAGAAAAGTATGAAATGCTCTGTTTTGGTTCTGTAAGATAATAAATAGTTTATCTAGTAAAGTCTATAAATGAAGAGGGATAGGTAGCTAAAGAGCTTAAAATACTTGCTTCAGATGTTGAAGAAGAGCTGGGGATGTAGGTCAGCGGTAAGCACTTGCCTATAAGAGGTTTGATCCCTAGCTCTGCAAACAAAAACAAAAAAAAAGAGGCAGCGGAGATAAATCAGAAAGTAGACCAGTTCCAGAAAGTAAACAGTATTGTGGTGGCCTTTACTCAAGCTCTCATTTAATACTGAAGCAGTGAGATGAACTATATGTTATTATCTTGCTGGTACCAGTAGGGAAACTGAGGCAGAGACTCTGGCCAACGTCTCTCTGAATGAGACTTAGAATGGGATTTAGAGCCTGGCCCTAGCCGTAGGCTGTTCTGCCTTGGGGAGCATGGATAGTGGGGTAGGCTGTGGGAGCCGGGACAAGAAGGAGCCCCAGAGGTACAGTTAGGGCCGCGGGAGAACTGATGATCAGGTCATCAGTTACTGGTGACTGTCAGGGAGGACGTTTGGTGGCCACATTTGAGATATGCAGCGGGCCTTCTGGTATAGGCAGATTTTTCCTGACTGTAGTCAGCACAGAGAGAAGGAAATCCATTATCTGCATTCAGAGACAACTCTAGAAATTGAAAAGACTTAAAGGAATTTTACTGGGCACTAGGGCGAGGTGACAAATTGAAAGGGAGAAGAAATAGAGAAATACTTCTGTTTTCTGTGTTCCTGGAAAGGAGGAGAAAAGTAAAGTGAATCAGAAGTGGTGCTGAGAAAAATCGGACCATAAGTAAACATAGTTTGAAGAATTCTTTGAATCGTCTCCTACAGGGAGGAAGTTCAGAATTCTTTTTAAAATGAGGAGGGGGAGCAAATTCTGTTTAATCTCCATCTGGAGACTGAACTAATGTTAGAAAAAGCTCCTAGTAGTTTTCTTAGTTACTGTGTGTATTTCCTAGCAAGGATCTCCTGCTTAATGGTTTTAGAGCCCAAAATTTTGGTTTTATATTGTTTCTTTTTAGTCAGTTTTTACAACTTTAAGGAGCTAAGACTTAAAGATATATGGAGGTCTGTAGGTTTTGATTGTTTTCTCAACATCAGCCCTTTCTTTTTAGGACACGAACTTCTTTAAGAGGCTGATTCTTGAGGCTGGATATGGGTATTGACTTTTTGTTTCCCTCGTTACTGCAGATTGAAGCAGGAGCCTTGCACTGAGCTACAGCCCCAGTCCTTGTTACTTTTTATTTTGTGGCAGGGTCTTGCTAAGTCACTGAGTTGTCCAGCTGGGACTTGAACTTGCAGTCCTATTGCCTCAGTCTCTTCAGGCATATATTTATGATACGTGTCACTAAGCCTGGCTGGGTATTGATTTTATAATTTTTTTCTCCGAGGGGCAAGTTCTACAGATTAGCATAGTGAGAATTAGATTGTTGGAAAAAAAAGTGGGCCAGAAATTTCAAAGCCTTCTGTTTTTATTTATTTGTTTAGTTTTGCTTTTCTAAGACAGGGTCTTACTATTAGTTCAGGCTGGACTCAAACTCACGACAAGCTTCCTGTCTGCCTCCTGCCTCGGCCTCCTAAGTGCTGGCAAAAAAGCCTTTTGTTTTTAAAACATCACGTAGCTAGAAATACTTTAGATACTTGTAGTTATCTCATTTTTCCCCAAATTTATTTGTTTTTTATTTTTATTTATTTATTTATTTATTTATGTATTTGTCTTTTTCCTTTTTATTGGTACCAGGGATGGAACTCGAGACTGCCTGCTTGCAAGGCAGGCACTTATGCCACTGAGCTAAATCCCCAGCCCCATGTTTTTTATTTTTTTAATGCTGGGAAGCGAACCTAAGGCCTCACACAGGCTAGGTAAGCATTCTCCCACTGAGTTATACCCTTTCCTCATTTTCTACTGTGAGCTCAAACTGGGGCCAAGGCTCATTAGGTGGTAAGCAGCATGTCCAGAACTAGAGCCCAGCATCTGGAATTCTAGTCTAAGACTGCCCCTTTCACTGCTTTCTCTCTGTCTCAAAATTTATCACATGTGTTTTGATGATACATAATCCTGCTCACATTTATAATCCTTTTAACAGATGAACCTGAAAACATGCCTTAATCAAATTAAGCCTCACATGGGTACTCATGGGTAAGCTGATCTTTAACGAGTTCTGCTGATTTTGTGTAGCAGGAGTGGGAGAGGAAGTTGGGGACCTGAGTTGTGCTTACTGTACTATTAACCCTGAGTGGGAAGGGATTGCAGATTTTCAGATGCCTTTCCCAAGCATTTGGGGACATCCACCGTTAAAAATAGATGAACTGCCGTATAGGTAGGAGAGTAGTGTGTATTTCACTTTGGCTATACCTGCATTTGCATCGAAGATCTTGCCCCAAATTTTTTGTCATAATCTTGTGCTTCAGCTTTCTTTGGTTGAGAAAAATTTAGCCCATTTAATGCTTGACTGTTGTCAAGGTTGTCTGCTAGCATATTTAATTTATATTGATCAAAAGTTAAAACAAGACTGTGTAGTGATACATGCCTGTAATTCTAGCACACTGGAAGGGGAGCGGGTGGACTGAAAGTTGGCGCCCAGCCTGGGCAACTTGGTGACTTTAGTGGGACCCTGTCTTAAAATATAGAATACAGAGGAGAGCTGGAGATGGGGCTCAGCTTGGAGGCCCTGGTTTCAATCCTCAGTG